TTTTTTTTTTTTTGTTTGTTTGTTTGTTTGTTTTTTGTTGTTGTTGTTTTTTGGGTTTTGTTTTTTTTTTTTTTTTTCAGTAGGCTAGTGTTTCAGAAAACATCAGAAAATGTAAGAGTGTGCTCTCACAAAGAGCATATGTATTTCACTCTGTCTAATTCCTTTTCACCAACAGGTTAGTCTGGGGCCAACAGAAGTAGTTTCTATTGACTGGAAACAGTGGATCATCCTTTCAAACAAGCAGCACTTCTTCATTATAAGTAGGGATACAGATTCTGAAGAAAAACACACGATTGTCGACCACTGTTGTAACCTCCTACAAAATACAGTGAGAAATCTCACCCAAGTTTCACAGTACACATTACATACAACAGTACTTTCTTGTCCACACCAGAAAAGGAGGAGTCTTCCCATCTGCCAAGTCTTTTAAAGACCGGGAAGCCTCTCATGTTAGTGACAGTATCTATCCTCCCCCTAGAGTCCAAGGGTAAGATTTCCAATTCTGCAGGTCTAGGTTCAGCAAAACAAAACCTTAACAAAATGTATAACCAAGATCCTTGAACTGTAACCTGCAATGCTTTCCAAGAAGTCATTTTATGCTCCCCTGTATGCTTTAAAAGGCAACTGATGCAAATTCAACTATCCACATGTGCTATGAGACCTCAGATTAACCTTTATTTAACATTTTTAGCCACACAAACCAGACATTCATAGGAGTATTTTTGGTAAGCAACAACTTGCAATGAATTGCCTATTATCATTCTCAAAAAGAGTTCCCCAAATGAAGGGCTGGTAGCTCTTTACTGAACCTTCAGGCTAGCAAGTCCCAACTGGAATTATTTTTGTATACTTTTGGTAAAGCTTAAGAATTTGCAATATCATCACTCTGGATTAATTTTTATTTAGTGAGTTCAAATTTTGGGTTATCAAATTACCTAGGGATAATTCTACTGGGTAAGACTGACTTTGAAAATCTGAACGGCTGGGATCGCAGCTAGGGCCAGCCCTTAACACCAAGCACGCACTCATCAAATCAGAAAGGTCCAGGCAGGCATGCAAGTTGTATTACTAAGATTTCTCAAAGCAAAAAACCTCTTAGGTCAACATAGAAACTTTTGAGACAATTTAAAGCAAAAGTTGTCTCTCTCACCCTTCCTCAAACTTTTCCAATCCCTTTCAGTTCAAAGGGCTAGATATTGTGCAGTACAAAAAGTAAAGGTCTCATTCCAGTCCTCCAGTCAGAATTTTTGTCCATAGTTTTCTCTTCAGAAGACTATTTGTTTTACAATTAAGGAAAACCATGTGGCAGTTTCAGAGAAGAATTAACATGCATCTTTGCCTTTGAAAAAGACAGTGGTTTTCTAAACAACTCTAGCATTGAAGATCAAAAATATAGCCAAAAAACTAGATGACAATTAAACAAAAATCCATTACAATTTTGGTAGAAGTAAAATAGATTTTGTAGAATCATCGACTCTAATAAGCTCATTAAATATTTGACAAGATATTATGAAAACATTTGTGTCTAAATAAAACAGCAAGTTATTTTCCCCGTAGTTTATTACAAGTGTCATCACTTCAAAATAAACTGTAATTAATCAGCATTTTATTCCCCTTGAAGACTGTAAGATGAAAGGTACTGGGGTCCAGGGTTAAGTGCCCTCATCTTGGGTGGTAAACTAGGCCCTGAGGCTCTGTGACATTAGATAACCAAAGGAAGTTATATCTTTTAAGTTTATAATCAAGTTTTTGATACAAAAAAAGTCAAGTAACAAAACAGAAAAATCTACAGTTTTAAGGAACAAATTCCTACCTCTTTCCCTGCTATCTTCTCCAAAACAAGAAAATACAAGTTTTGCTACACTAGAACACAGATAGGTTGAAACGAGATTTTTATTACAACACTCAAATACTTCATGTTGTGTAGAAGAAAGCAAGTTCTAGCTATTAAAGCTATGTAGTAAGCCACAGAGATACCCAGTTCACATGTACAGGTAATAAATATTTTGGAAGATTCTACCGCTGAACCAAAGACTTTCAGTCTGTCGCATCAGTAGGGCCTGAAAGGGGACAGTCCTTTCCTATTAGAAACACTTATGTAAATATTCACATAAAACAAAATACTGACCCAGCCCAGAATTCTGGCATACGTGTAGCAGCTTCAGAACAATTAACCCTGATGGGCAAATGCCATTAATAACACACAGGGCAGTGCAGCAGTTTTTGACATTTTATTTGTTGCTCCTGCCACCCATGGAAATTATGCTTCATTAACATCAAAGACATTTAATTAACTGCTTACTGTCATCCCTGCTATTTACAGTCCTAACAGGTCAAACATCTTCCTCTCCTGAGTCCTAGTTTGACATTTGATGCAAGCCTATCCCTGCTGGTGTAAGCAAAAATCACCTCCTGCCTGACTTGGGCTGTCACCCCCACCCCATCCTCCCCCCTGCAGAGAGTTTATACCACCCTGAATGTCAAAAAGTGGGTAATCAAATGACAAGAAAATTGTTATATACGTGAAAAATTACTCTTATGTCCTGAAAGATTTCATCTCATGCCTGCCGGAAGAGAATAATAACTGAAAGTTAAAATATATCTTAAGAGGGAGAGACTTGTGCTAAAAGAAGTCATTATTTTCAGAAACAACGATGACCAAATTGACATGGAAAAAACTTAATCAATCACATTATCTATCCTCAAATAAAAAGGTTTAATCAACTTATGCTCTCGTGTCCTAACGAAAAGGAGAAATATTTGGAATAGAAACAGTATTTCTACAGTGTTTAAGTGCCTGACTAATATTTGCACATATCTTTGGTTTATAGAGAATTCGGGGCTAAACTGACCAAACCCACTTTTCTGAAGGCAGCAATGGCACCTACCACCCTGGATAGTTTGGACTAAAAAAAGCCTATCTTCTGGAGATGCTGAATAAATTTCAGCTATCTTACCTACCCTAATCACACCTGTATTTTAGTACCGCACAAACTTAATATATATTTAAATATTGACGATAGGTAGTGAAATGTTATTATTTCCATTCCACAAAACAGGAAGTCTCAGGCAAGAGCTCACTGAAAAAACCCTTTTAAGTGACCAAATGAAAGCAGCAGTGACTCCAACTGCTGACTAGCTTCCCTACCCTTAGGTCATGCTGCTTCTATGTCTTCGCTTGAACTTTTCTTTTACATTCACCCAGTAAATACCATTATAGCACACAACAGAAAATGCATGCTGAAAAGTCAGAATTCCAGAAATGTAACATCTAGCAATGGTCAATATTAAGAACTAACTTTTAGCGATAGAAGATAAAAGTGGTTTAGAAGCCAAGAACAACAGTAATAAAGAAGAGCATTTATTTTCTAATTGTCTCAAATCAAGGACTTGCTAATTACAATCAAATGAATCAAGACTAGACAAATCCAATAAAAGCATTGCATTCAAGTCCTAAAGTTTACATTGAGCAAAGCTAAACCTAAAATGCTGCTACATCAGACCCAGCATATCTTAAATGGTTTACATTTCCCATTTTAAATTTATTTTGGTTTTCCTCCCAGGTGCTTAGCTAACACAATGAAAGGACAAGATAACTTTATCTCCTGTTCTACTCAGCACTATCAAGATTAATTTCATCATGCACATGGCGCTTCAAAGTTTTAGTCCATATTTTTAATATGTTTTTAGTCTGATTTACCATTGATGGTACCTTTGGTCTAAATCCAGTATCAAAAGATTGTCCATGTTGCACCAGATGCAACAGCAGAATGTTAATGTGGCACGAAAGGAAAGCCACAGTCTTATCTCAAAAAGAATACTTTTGTAGCAAGAAAAAAACATCTTATCTATCCTCTATAGCACCTTATATTACTGATTAAAAAAAAAAAAACAACCAGATTGTGTTTTTTCCTGAACCTTTGTGAGAACCCCCATACACAGATGTTTTGCACATACTGGTGATTTTTAATCAAGAAAGTTTAGGCCTGGCTGCACCCACCCCAAAATCAAGAGAACTGCAATAAAAGAAAATAACTCGCTGTCATAAAACAGAGGAAGTAGAGTGTTTCAATGGTTTCCTGTTGAGGAAAAAAAAAAAAAAAAAAATCTGCTTGAAATACAGGGTAGCAAGCTATTAGCCCAATTTAACCTAGAAATCTGAGAGGCCCTATCTAACTGTTAGCCATTTCAGAATTTAAAAGTCAACCAACATCCAGTCTTATCAAGACGAAGCCATTGTTAAACTATGGAAAATGTCTCTCATTTAATCCCTCCCTCTTCTGAAAGTCCAAATGACACCGTCTTGTCTATACATTAAAATACCTACAGTATTAAAAGCATGTAGGCTGGCAATATTATATGTACGGTGTCTAGTCATTTAAAACGATCTTGCCGCAGCACCGATTCCCATTAAAATTCCTCCTGTCAAGCATGAAAGGATCCTTTTGCTATCCGACTTTTGCACCGACCTAACAGTGAACTGCCAAACTAAAAAAAAAAAAAAAAAATATTTCCAAGTACTTTTGCCTGTCAGAGAAGTTTTCAGAGATCCCTGAGTCTGGTGATGGGGATGCTGAGCCCTGCGAGGCAGAGCTCCTTGCCAAGGTCTCAGCTCCGAACCAAGTGTCTGGAGAGCGACCTCTTGCACCTCTGCGGCCTCATCACCTTCTCCTCCTCTTCCTCGCACGGCTGTTTCCCACAGGTTACCCCACGCAGCGCTCGGGAGGAAGGGCCTTTCCCCACGGCTGCGAGACTTCAACAGCACGGCTTCACGACCCACGCGAACCGCCGCGGAGGGGCGAAGGGACCAGGGACCCCCCCCCCCGCCCCTCACCGCCACCGTCCCCGTTACCCGCCGCCCCGCGATGCCCGGCAGCTGAGGAGGGGGCAGCGGCCCCCGCGGGTCCCCGCTCCCCCCGGGGCCGGGCAGCAAGGCCTGACCCCCCCCCCCCCGTCAGAAAAAGCCGCGAAACCACCCCCCTCTCTTAACCCGCACTCACCCGGGCGCGATGACCTGTCCGGGCCGCGCACACAGCTCCCGCACCACGCCGGGCCGCTCCGCTTTCAGCTTGCGCTCGGGGCCGGCCCGCGGCGGCGGGGGCGGGGGCGGGGGTGCGGGCGCCAGCGGGGCGCACAGCGCCAGCACCGACCCGATCTGCACCGCCGCCCCCACCGACACCTTCCACTCCAGCAGCCGCAGCGGCCGCGGGCCCGGCGCCCGGATCTCCGTGACCACCCCCGACGGGCCCTCCGCCGCCGATCCGCCGCCCCGCTCCGCCGGACCCTCCATGGAGGGGGGGGTGGAGGGGGTGACCGTTACGGCACCGCCCGGCTGTGGGGCCCGAGCCTAGCGCGGGGTGGGGGGAGGGGAGGGGAGGGGAGGGGGGGTGGTGTGCGCCCCGATAGTCACCGGCGGCGGCGAGAAGCGGCGAGGTCACAGCCCCTCTGCGCAGGCGCCGGGCGGCCGGCCGGGCTTCAAGGCTGCCGGTGGCGGGGAAGCGCCGCGCGCCGCGCCCCTTCCGCAGCCGCCGTAGACGTTTCGGGCTCCGCGCTCGCCGTCACCTCGCCCCCCACCCCCGCCAAAAGCCGTCGCGTTGGGGGGCGAACTACGGCTCCCGGCAGGCAGCGCGCCCGGGAAAGCCTACAATGCCCAGCGTGCCCTGCGCGGCCCGCCCGGCCGCCGCCGCCGCCGCCACAGCCCGGGCGCGCGGGGCATGCTGGGAGTTGTAGTTCCCGGCCCCCCTTCCCCTCACGGCGGCCGGGGGCGCGGGAAACGTGGCGGCGGCTTGTCCTGCGGTCGGGCGGGCCGGGAGGAGCAGCCGCGGCTCGGCCGGCACATCCGAGCTCCGAGGCAGGCAGGGCCGACTGGAGCTGAGGGCTGAGGCGTTCCTGAGGGGGGGGTGCAGCCATCGCCGTCAGAAGAAGCCACCGTGGGCTTCCTTCCCGCCTGCCACGGCTGCGTTACAGAGCAGAGTGAATTCAGCGCCAGGCCAAGGAGGGAGGGCACGGGGGGCTTCGCAAGAGGTGTCCTCTCCAGAGAGTGTGGGGCTGACTTGCTCGCAGCCACGATTTTGACAGGGTGAGAAGCCTGACAGTGCATGGTCTACGGGCAATCCCCAAACAGCAGGTTTCCCCGAGGTTTTTCCTCCTCACGTGTCAGTAGAAATACCTTAAGGAAAGAACAGTGTGAACTGGTTGGGAATTCCATCTGCAAGACATGAACTTGCTGACGAGATCGGGTTGTGAGGCAGCCACCATCACCAGCAACCAGAGAGGGAAGTTCTTGAAGGAAAGTTGCCACGCATCTTCTGTCAGCTCCTTGTACACAGGCATAATGAACCCGTTGCACGACCATGTATGTTTTCGATATCCCTTTCTAATACAACGTGATGAAGGGAGCTGTGTTTTGGGAAGCCTCAAGGTTACCTAATAAAGGAGGCTGTTGACTGTATAGTCCTCCACTCGTTTGGTACAGAAGTTGGAGGGTATGTTAGGAATGAGACCAAGGAACTGTGAGAGGAATAGCTCAGTTTCGTGCTGAAGGCATTTGGACACTGCCCCAGAGAATAGTGTTTACTCACTCACTTTCTGCTCCAACGTTCTTGTCCAAGGCAAGTGTCTTCAGCCACAGTTTTAAGAAAGTGTTTGTCCACATACTCTCTCCTGGAGTGTGTGAGGAGGGGGTAATACCACCTTGTCCTTAGTGGAGGAATTTACTTCTAAGAAGTTTTGTTATTACAGCAATTAACAGGGTTTGAAGAGTGGGAAATAAGTAGAGGGTAAGGCCACACACCAAACACTAGATTTAAAACTGAATACTGAATGTTAGCTACCTGAGCCCCAGCTGTTCGTTGTGTTTTGACTAGCAGCCTTAATACTTACGTTCCCTAGTGAATATTATTCTTAATATTCTTTTAGTGTTGTGTGCACACAGTAAAGCTACATCATAAAAGGGGAGTTGTTTCCATTTTGCATACTATTCCTTCCAAGTCTGCACAGTTCTCATTGGGGAGACTGGTAGTATCTCTCTACTACATATGTTCCTCTATTTGCTCTTCCTTAATCTGAAATAAAAATAATAGACACTGAAGAAGCATGTGGATGTCCTTTATGCACATGAGAACTGAAGTTTACACCACTGACAAGGCCACTGTGGAGCTCCACCAGGAAGTGCTGGCTTGCAACATTTCTCCTCAGCTCTCACCTGAAGGGTGTTTTTAGCTCTCATCCAGGCTTCTTTCTTTTGCAGGGTGGGTTGATTGGGTTTTGCTCAGGGGCAGCAGGCCAAGGCCCGCCTCAGGAGTGCAAAGGGAAAGAGATTGCCTCAAAGAGCAGGAGAATTAAGCAGGAATTCCCCTATTCTTAAAACTGTTACAGGCTTCCAAGTCTATCAAAACCCTGTTCCATCAAGAGTGGCGGTCATGATAGTCGAGTGAGGACTGAAACAATAGCTGAGGTGGGAGGGATCTCTAGAGATCGTCTAGTCCCAAGCCCCAGCTCAAAGCAAGGCAAACTAGCAGGTTTCTCAGGTCTGCATCCAGTTGGGTTTTGAGTATCTCCAAGAACGGAGACTCTGCAGCCTCTCTGAGCAACCTCTGCTGCTGTTCGACCAACCTTACAGGGATAAAAGCTTTTTCTGTGTGTGTGTTGAAGTGGAATCTCCTGTGTTTCAGTTTGTGCCGGTTGCCTCTTGTCCCTTCGCAGGGCACCACTGACAAGAGTATGGCTCTCTCTTATCAACCCTCCTCCACCTCCATCAGATGTTTATACACCTCACTAAAATCCCTCTGGAGCCTTCTTTTCTCCAGCCCGAGCAGTCCCAGCTCTCTCGGCCTCTTCTCATATGACGGATGCTCCAAGCCCTTTAATAACGCTCGTGGCCCTGTGCTGCACTTGCTCCAGTATGTCCGTGTCTCTTCTGTATTGGGGACCCAGCACAGCCCCCGAGGTGTCACGAGCACTAAGTCCAGGGAAAGGAGCACCTCAAGCCTACTGGCAGTGCTCTTGCTACTGCAGCATGGGGTGCTGCGAGGGTTACGGTTGCTGCTTTTTGGGGAGTTTGGTGTCCATTGGGGTCCCCAGGGCCGTTACTTTCAGGCAGAGCTCCTTTCCAGACACATGGCCCCCAGCCTGTCACAGTGCCCGGCGTTGTTCCTCCCCAGGGGCAGGACTTGGCGTTTCTTTTTCTTGAACGTCAAGAGGTTCCTCTCTGCCCATTTCTCCAGGCTGTCAAAAGTCCCTCTGGATGGCAGCACAACCATTTAGCCTGTCACCCACTCCTCCCAGCTTCGTGTCACCTGCAAACTCACTGAACACACACTCTGCCCCATCGTCAGGGACATTGGTGAAGACGGTAAACAGTATTGGTCCCGGTATTGACCCCTGGGCAAACCACTAGTCAGTGGGTAACTAGTGACAGGACACTCCTAGCATAACATGAAGCACCAGGGACCAGTTTCATATTCATGCAATATCTTTTTTTTTTTTTTTTCTGCCATAGGGAATAACTTCTTTAAGGAAATCAGAAAAGACTGCAAATTTCCTCCAGATTCCCTGAGTGCAATTTTGCTCTGTGTTTGCAGATTAGCTCAGTTAAACAAACTGTATTTGTTGGTACTGAGTGTCCCCTAATTGTATGTGGAGATGATAGTCTTGGCAGCAGAGAAGGACCATGCCATAAAAATGATGTGGCTTTGTTTGCCCTGCATATATCTCAAACCAATGGTTACTCCGTTTTCCTTTTGCCTGCTAATCCCCCTCACCCAAAGACGTACATTTAAGGTCATGCAGCTTTCTAAACACTTGCCATTTTCCCGAAAGCTGGCCTGCTGCGCAGCTTTTCTATATTTCAGTATCGCATCTGCCCTACCAGACCTCCTTGGATGGATGAGGACAGGCAGTATTTGATTCCTCACCAGCAGGTTGGACGCGTGTAAGAACTGAGTGGCTCAAGTCTGACACTGCATGGCCACAGAGGTCTAGAACTGGCAATGGTGCAAGCAGGGGCTGAAGTCAGAAGAGCTCACCTGGCCTTACCAACCCTGATGTGTTAACTCTTATCTCTGGAACAAACCCAGGGTGTGCTGCAGCTTCGACAGTACTGCTGCTCTCAAAAAGCCTCTGCAGCCCCTCCTTCCACAGAAGCTATTTTCTGATTTCCTCTGCACCTGTAATTGTGCAGATGAAAAGCTCAGCCGGGAGAATGACAACAGAAATCTACATAATAATTCTTACTGTTTCTGGTTACTTGATTGCACTGAGACAAAGCTTTGCAAAATAGTTGCGACCCATCAATCCTAGGTAGGTGCAAGGGAAAGTCCCTGAGATGGTGTGTGATGAGAACGTTAGGGGGAGAATCTGTAATTCTCTTAAGTAAGTATAATTCTAAGGAACACACTGTGTTAAAATGCTTGACTTCATGTCTGGTTATACCAGATGGCTTCCATCAAGAGGCAGATGTTTTCCCCAGTCTTCCCCTCAAAAAGGACATCAGAATTTAACCACGCCTTTGTATTTGAATACGTAGCATGAACAAAAGCATATGCTGTAGATATCAGCTTCATATAGCTGTCGAATGAAAGCACTGGGGTGGTAGATATAGCCTTGTGGGGAAGCATTTCTTGAAAGTGATAGATTTTTAAAAATACATGCATTCAGTACGGCTGACTTCCAAGAAGATAAAGGAGATAAGCTGCAGTTTGTTTACTTAAGGTTGAAACACGCTTAGCTAAAACTTCTTTTAAAATAAAATACACGTTCCCCTGCTCTGGATGTTCTAGCTTTAATGAAAATTCAAAATGCCTCTTAAAGGTGGCTTGGCTGAGTATTTTCCTGTTCAGACTGACGGCTTCGATGCTGTAAACCCATCGCAGCGTACTCAAGCCACACTAATACCTGTTCTGTAGTAATTTTCAGGAGGCTGTAGAGCATAAGGTGGCCAACCTCCCCAAATCTACAGGCAGCTCACGGAAATCTGCAAGTGGGCAGGAGCCACAGGGCGCACGCGAAGTACCTCACCAGGAGAGCGGGGGGTGGTTTGCAGGCAGGACACGACAGCAGCTGGCCGCGACCCACAGGCCCCGCTCCAGCCCGAAGCCCGGGGCGTGCAGCTGCGGCTCGGGGGGTGGGGGGGGGGCTGGCCAAAGCCCCTCCCGGCTTTCCCCTGGGGCTGGAGATTTGAATGAACCAGCCGTCCTGGTGCTAGACAGCCCGGTTGCCAGTTACATGATGTAATGTTGCTGTGAGAGCTGTATCTGAACTACTTAGAAGTGATGCAAAAGTTGCTCAAGAGCCACAGCTTGGCCAGTCCCTACGGCAGGGAGTTTATAGCTATTTATATATAATTCCTCAGTGCAAGAAGTCTGCAAGGCAGTATCACATTTAAATATTACAACAAAATACAGAGACATTCAAAAGCTCTCACAGCTCTTCCATGCCCAGACACCTCATTGGATCCACCGTGATAACCAGTGACGGATTTCACTTGGGGAAATGAAATAACCTCATCCTGCTTTTTGAGCGTTTCCAGTAGGAAGGGAAGCTCCTCAGAAGCTGGCAGGACTTAACATCAGAAACTAGAGGAGCTTTTGCTGTACGTGA